ATTTTAGACTAGTACCAAGTCTCTTCAAACTTTTCAGTATCTAAAGTTCTCTTCTGCCTTAGTCTTGCATACATTAAAAGTTGAGATTGGGTTATTAAAGCAGTATTTCATAATTCATAAACACATGCTTCTTCTTGTTCATGTCTTAGGTCAAACACATCATATTACTTCAACATGTGAGCATAGGGGCAGAAGCTCCTATCGTCCAGGTCTTACATCGAGCAATGTCTCAGGAAAGTTATATGTTGCAATTAAAATCACAAAAACAACGAGTGATGTATTTTATATATCAATTCTAGAGTTGGTGCAAACTTGATTTTTCATGAATAGATACCTCTGATCAATAATTTAAAAGTAATTTTTATTTACCGTAGGGCTGACAAATGGAATGGCAACACATTGGCATGCGAAGAGACTCTAAAAGTTGTTAATAAAGGGGAAGAATGCATTATTTGGTTAAAGGATACGACAAATGGTGCTTTACTGACACTAGGGTTCATCTCAGCTCACCATAATGATTTGTGTTAATTTAAAAAATTGTCTTCTATCTGTAAATAGGTGAACTCTATGCTCGGGCGTTTCTTAAAGAGGGAGAGCCATATCCAGTGGAACCCCGTGATCGATAGCAACAGGTTGGAATGTCCATTGTGAACTGACATATCTTATTTTTTTTTATATATATACTCTAAGATCCAGACACATATATGTACACACACATGCATATATTTACCTCAGTATTATCACATGTTTTATCCACATTTAATTCTTTTACGAATTTGTTACCATAATTGTCAAGATTTATACTATTGGCTGTAAGTTTGTAAATATCTGGTATTCTGTTTGCCCATGACAACTTTGTTTTCGGAAGTGCGGAAGTGCAAAAGTCTTGGTCTGCATTACCTTTTTTTACAGTCGAACCTGCATTTAAGCAATTTAAGTCTTTAATAATTATATTCCATTTCTCGGTCAGGTCAAACAAGAGACCAATATATCTTATATCTGCCCCAGCTATTATAGAGCTCCTGATCTGATTTTCGGCCACATATTATACTACTAGCATCGGGATTTGGTCGGTTGGATGTGTGTTTGTTGAGTTACTTCTCGAACAAGTAGTTAATGTTATTGTTGTAGGTTTTTTTTGCCATTTTCAGAGTATTACACCTTTGCACAGAAAGCTATATAGACTATATTGCTTATATATGTTTTCTTGCCCTTAGCCTTTGCCTTTGCAGCCTTTGTACGGTTATGTTTCTATTTTTTGTGGTATCTATCGATTACAGAACTATGCTTATAAATATCGTGTGATTCGCTCGTATTTTGTTTATTAGATATTTGGCTTGGTGGAATATACTTTATAGTTTGGATTTGTGTTGTCGTAATATATGGTTTAAGACATGTATAGATTGTTTAAGTGCTCTGTGATGTTGCGTGCCCATTGAAAATGTCTCTTTGAAGCAAGTTCTTACCTTTTTCCTTTTGGGTTTGTAAATGACTGTTCTTAGCTTTCTCATATGTTTTCTACCTAAAATTTATATTAAATACAAGCTTAAATTGTCACCCAGCATAGTGGGCAAACATTTAGGAAAATAGAAACAAACTGCTATGTCCTGGTTTATCGGATGGTGTGAAGTTTGATTTATTAATGGTGTAATTTTATCACATGTAGATCCGACTTGTGTAATGGACTTCAATCTGGAGTTGCATAAACACCAGTAGGATTGTGTTGAAACCTGTAGAATAGTCATAAGTAGGTGCTATTTGCATACTTGCTATCTTTGCTTACTATGTGAACGATTGACTTATAAGAAATTTCGATAGCACCGATGTGATCTGTTAAATTGTCATATACAATGTTACGATATGTGGATTTGCTTGTGTTATGTACACTGTTAATATAGGGGCAGTAAAATCAGTGGTATTATGCCGACTCTTGTGCTGGTCTGGTATTTTTTATCTTTTACCACATTGTTTATGGCTAAGCTGCTATTACACTATTTGGGTACACTATGACTTTCCCCAAAAAATGTTGAAAGTTGACTTTATTATTGAAATCCTATGTAGTCCCTTGCTGCCAAGGTGTATCTCTTGTTAGTGATGAATTTGGTAGATATAATTTGATATATCAGTGGTCGGTACTCTGAACTTGGAACTGCATCTACGGATGTCTGCTCGTATTTAATGCATAAATGGTAGTTAATCTCATTGAGACATAGTACTACGACACATACATGGAGCACTCCCATTTGGGGGTTGCCATATGGATATAGAACTTCGAAATTTTTTTTTATTTGATATTGTACTGATATTGCTGGTTTACATTTGTTTATTGGAGGATGATCGGTTTATAGATCGAGCTGCAATCACATAGGAAATTAGGATATAATGTGCTTTGGTACCTAATTCATGGATATAATACCATGTATTGTACGACATGTCTGAATATACATACTCGTATTGTTCTAGTTGCAAAGTTTTAGACTTCTAATGTCTGTGTTATGGCATGTTATACATACAGTTTGAACGTCTGTTGATATATACGGCTCAATATACTCAAAAATTGCACTTGTGGATGTTGTAGGTGACACACTTTCCCTGGTCAAGGTCTTCGTGACATCCGCCTCAGTCCCTGACACACCCCTTATTTTGCCGACCATTGCTGGGGCGACTACTCTTCGCGATGTCGTTGGTGAAGATCCTATTGAGTGGAACTACAAGGATGTACGGATCTACTTTCATACATTTCTTGTATTGCCTTCCAAAATTTATAAGAAATATGACTTAAACTAATCTTTGTGTTGGCAATTGCAGCTCATGCGCAGCCCCTGAAGCGTATCTACCGATTCACCCATGTTAGTTGCCTCGTTTGTCTTATGGATTGTATGTCGTACTTGTTTTTGGATGGATTGTGTTGAGGCTGTGTGAACTATATGTGGAATGGATGCATAGATCATTGGAGTTTTAATTCGTGTGGTGAAAGATGTGGTTATGGATTGATGGATATCCGTACTTGCTTATTGTTAGGCTTGGTGTTTGAACTGTTAAGCCCGTTTTGCGGAACATGATGTTGTTGTGTAATGCTTGCTAGGCTTGTTTTATGGGTTGCTTTACTTCGTTGTAAGGTATGGAGATTTTCCAGTAAAAATTGTGGTGTCCATGTGCCTTAATGTTGGGATTCAGATTTTACTATGAATTAATGTTTGCAAGTATTGCCAATGATGATGTTTATAGCATAATGTGTATACGGAATTTCTTTCGGTATTTGGGAGATCACAGCAAGTCATTTTGTTACGCACAATTTCAATTGCAGTGTAACTACTATTTTTCATAGCATGCTATTTCTGCGTAACAAAAGGATGAAATACCGTGACAAAAAGTGGTCCTTGGATATTTGTTGTTTCAGGTTGTTCCGTAACTATAGGAAAGTATATTTTTTTATTACGGGTTTAATGTCGTTACAAATATTCGTAACAAAAAAAATATATATAACAAGCGATCACAGAAACATTTTTGTAGCGCGACGACCTTTCGTAACAAATATCGTAACTAAAAGCTCTGACACACGCGCGGAAGGATCAACATTTGGTTACGAGAGGAAATTCGTAACAAACAGCGTAACAAAAACCCTGCATTAGGGAGCATTGACCGACAGTAATAGTTACGAAAAATGGCGTGGCAAAAAACATTCGTTACGCGAGTACACATTACGGAAAAAAGTCGTAACAAAGGCGTAGCAAATACGCAAATTGCACGAAAAATGACTTTTTGCTACGATTTTCCGGCCGTAGTAGAAAACAGTTTTTTTAATAGTGAGAATGCTTTTGAAATCTATTACTAAAGTTTAAAAACTAATGTCTTTTCAACTAATCTCCGAGTTATACTTTTGACTCGACTGTCAGACAAATTGAGAGGTTGAGTGCGAACAAAAGGAGTACGGCGCAAGTTTTATTTTCGGTTGTGGATAATACGGTTTAATCTTAACTTCAGATACAATATACTCTTTCATTTTCAATTCAAAGTATAATTTTTATCATTTTCGTATATTTCACTTAAAAGTACATTTTTCCTATTATTAAAATTAATCATACACTAATACGAAAATATATTTAATGCTTACTTAAATTACAATCATATAATAACATATATAATTACTTTATACATAAAGTCAAAGAGCAAAAATATCAAAATCTCTTAAACACTTTTGTAACCAATAAAATACTATTATATCTTAATATATTACAAAACCCCCAAATGCTACATTCAAAAGAGATAAAGGGCATTGTAGATATATTACCAATATGTAAATCTGAAATTTTGATTATTAAATCAAATCTTGCATTTGGTTAGCAAGATATCAAAATTTGTCATAAGATTAAAGATTGTCTTAATTAGTATTTGAATAAACTCTCAAATTTAGATATTATTAAAGATAAAAAAATAAATTGATTAGTATTAATTCTCTCAATTATTACTTTTGTAAGAAAGAGTTACTATCTCTTTGCATTATGTATATAATAGAACGATGTGTCGGTCTATAGGATTGATTTGATCGTAATAAATTAGATCCAATATCTCCATGAAAATTGTTATTATTTATTTCAGTAATATATTTAATTTTTTGCACTTTTTCGTCTTCTCCTTAAGTTCTTTACTTTCTTTACTATCAAACATCTTAATACCATTTGTACTTCTTAATTCCTTTACAATCAAACGTCTTTAATACTATTTGGTACTTTAATACTATTTGGTACGAATTTAAAATTTAATTACTCTAAATTCTAAAAGAAAAATAAAATAAAATCTTTTGATGATCATCCAATTGTAAATTCAACCCACCTTAACTATACCATATTTTGAATAAAACATGTATATTTTGAAAGGAAAAATATATATTTGGAAATTGATGATAGATATAAAAATGCAAACAAACAAGTACTCTTTTATTTGATAGCTTCCAATTCTGTTTTATAATTATTGATGAAGTTTGCTTTATGGAACAAGTCTTAAAAGTTCTTCCATTTTCATTGACCTTAATCATTCACAAGGGGACTCTCCTCAACACAATTAGCCCTAAACATAAGTATATTCCACAACTCACTGTCGGTCGTCGGTCAAGCCAACGAGACACCCACAAAAGTGAAAAGGTAACAGTAAAAGAGCAAAGAGAGAATTGAAAACGCCATGACCTAACAACAGAAGCAGAAAGATTCAGTTGGGACATACAGGAGGACCCGACCCGACCCGGTAATGATTGTCAATCCCATTTTGTTTTTCAGTCCCATCCATCCATTCATCCATCCCCATTCCATGCCATGCATTAACAATAATAATAATCATTAAAAGCAAAGTAACAAAAGACCACCACTTTTTTGACCAACCCACTCACCCACCCACCCTATCTGTTGTGTTGCTGTGAACATAATTCACTACCCCCACACCCCCCTAGCTACAACTCTGTATCCCACAACAGCTAAACACCATTACATAGTAATAGTAATTACTATACCATTTATCTCCACCTCTTCATTCCACGCCAAAAATCGGTGTCTGAAATGCCGATAGACTTGCTTTTGGACCCTGGAATGTATGGCCTGTTGATGGTGATGGAGCTTGCTGCGCATTAATCCAACTGTTGCTGCTATTGCTATTGCTATTGCTATTATTGTTATTGTTGCCCACAATCCCTACATGCGCTTCACGGCTTGTACCATTAGTGCAAACGACGGCGGCGGATGGGCTTTGAGGAGTTGTACCATTGCTGCTGCTTTGCTGCTGCTGATAGTACACGTAGCCGGCAAGAAAATTCTGATCATGACTCCGGCCGGCGGGGAAGTCCACGCAGTAGGGCGTTGCACTGGCGTCCGGGAACATAGGGTTTGTGGCCACGGCGGCGCCGGCTGGGGTTTGGTACCCTAAAGCGGCGGCCCAGAGATGGTTCGGCGGCTGTTCTGGCTTCATGGGCAGGCCGCTAAAGGTTATTGTGGGAGTAGAAGAATTCTGAGAGAGAAAATGGAGTGACGTGGAGGAGGCGAGATCCTTGTTTTGGACGACCTCCGACGATGACGGGAGGCCATCACTCTTACTGTCGGACTCCGATGATGTCTTGGATTTGTTGACGGCGTTGGCGCCGCCGATTGGCAGATTGCTGCTGGCAATGCTCTTCACGTCGTAACGGCTCATGTCGAAATTGGTCACGGCGTTCAGTCCCCGGAATTTGATCGCAGCAATGTCGTACGCCTCAGCAGCTTCCTCCTGAGTACCTGATCCAGACAGTTTAGTTACGCAGCACAAAGTTAATGAACAAATAATAAGTATATAACAAAGCAGATTAAGGTCAAAAAAATAATAATAATGAAAGAGAAAAAAAAAATAAATAATAGTATCTCTTTTGTTTTTATGGCACCGATTCGACACCCAAGGAAGGGTCGCCACGTAAATCTATTGCAGTGTACAGAGAAAAATATTAATATTTGGAGGGTGTAGATATTTCGTGACGTCCACCGCCAGGAGAGGCCAATAGAAACCTAGTGAGCATTTAAGACGTCTGCATATTTATTTGTCATATATTGTGTGCTGCTGCTACATGCATCATTATCTATCTCTTTACTTCCACTTGAATGAATAAATAAAAATAGTAATAATATTATATATATATATATATATATAGAGAGAGAGAGAGAGAGAGAGAGAGAGAGACTCACTAAATGTGCCCAGATAGAGATCTTTGTTTCCGGCGACTCTCCCGATTCTGGCCTGCCAGCGGCCGTGCTGGTGGTGTCTGCAAGAATCCCAGGCAGGAGAATGAGAATAATATATATTTTGATTTTTTGATACATACGAACTGGAAAACGCTACTGTAAATGGAGAGACCTGGTGACTCCTCTGTAAATTGAGGCCCCTCTTGAGAACCCACTGCTTCTTCTGCATATAAATATAATATTAATAATAATGGTAAAAGAAAAAACAATGCGAACAGATGAAGAACAGTGAGATCGATGTCAAGAAACAGTTTTTGAGTTTGTACAAATGTGGCAAAACAATAATATACTTTTGAGAAAAAGAACCTTCTGAGTGAAGCCACAAATTCCTGCCGAGTCATGTGCTTCATTTCCTCCATTTCTTTCTCGTAGTCCGAAGCCTGTGTGCATGCAGAGATAATTCTTGTTAACTTATATTTTTTCTTTTCTAAAAAAAAAAAAAAATAATGTTCGAATGTGTGAATTAAATATAGACGTTGGTGATCCATACAGGAAAATTGGTGGTGGTGGTTGGACCCCAATACTTGAGGGCAGCAAGATCATAAGCCCTAGCTGCTTTCTCCTCTTTATCATAGCCTCCTTTTTTGGGTAAATGATTCAGAAATGAAACACCAGTTTAGTAATACTGTCATGGAAATTGAGAATCCAAGGAGAATCTCAACACCCCGGAAATTGAATAAAATTTTGGCATCAGGGAAAAAGTGATTGGATACACACAAGTATGAATGATGCAGTACTTACCCAAATAAACTGAAATATTTTGGACCAAAATGATGGATTTGAAATTGTCCCGTGTAGCAATCATTTGTCACGTCCATATTCCAAAAAGAGAAACCAACATCAGAAATATAATTTATGGTTCGGGTAATCAATGGAAAGTGATATTGATCACTGTAAAAGGGCAAAAAAAAAAGAAACCCTAATTTAGAGAATTAGGGTACACTAGTTCAAATTAACCTTGTCTGCCTTTCCTACTTTGGCCTTCTCTTCTGCAACTATTGTCCCATAGATGAGCTTCGTATCTTCCAGTCCACCTGTGTCTGTATACATATTAAAAGTTAATAATATTTCAAAACCCTAGTAAGGTCATCAATCATGGTTAAGGTATAGGTTCTTGGGGTTTGAATTGTACCTGGTAACTCCTCTGAAAATAGATGTACGTTGGCCGAATGTCTCGACGGATTTCTTCACCGGCGCCGCGGTGGCGGGATGCCGACTTTTGTCGGTGGAAAACCCGCTTAAGAAACCGGCAGCGATTGTCTTGAGTTCGGAGTCGTCGTAAATATCAACTCCCGGCATGCTACTAAGCCCAGCGAATCCATCAGCAGCACTTCCTTCGTTGCCGGAAGAGATTCCGGCGGCACCGAGGAAATCCTCCAGCTTCGGACATCCGCCGCCGAGCACCGCCAGACGCTGATCTGCTACTGCAGTTGCCCTAGTACAGCTTCCATTTTCTTGATCCAGAATCCCACCGCCTGCAGAACAATTACACATCAAATCCCATTATATAGGCTGCAGTATAAACAATATCTTCTCCCAAATATATATATATAATTTGTTACAATCCAACAATTAATAATGACAAGAAATAAATGAAAAATTTAAAAAAGGAGTGGAGTATATATATATATATATATGGGTGAGGAAAAAGAGAAGAGCTGAGGATATACTTGGGAAGAGGTGGGAATGGTTGGAAAGCGAGAAGGCGAGCCAGTTGCTGCTGCTATTGTTGGTGTGGGAAGAAGAAGAATCCATATCATCCATTAAGCCTAACCCCAAAGTTGAAGCCAAAGCCACCTGCCTGGGTGAGCGTGAAAATTTCGACAACAGATGATGGTGATGATGAGGGAGGAGGCAGAGAGAGAAAGAAAGCAAGAGAGAGAGAATGAAAGAGAGGGGGGTGTCTTTGGGAAACAGCACTGCTCCAAGACTCAGACTCAGTTTGTTTTGTGGGAAAGAGTGAGGGAATGAGAGAGAGAGAGAGAGAAAAAGGAGGAGAGATATAGAAATGGTGAAAGAGAAATGCGCACGGCAAACGAGGCGGTTCTTCTCTCCTGTCTCTATCCATTATATTGCTTAGCTTAATTTGCTTCCTCTTTTGTATATATGCATCTAATGTAATTTACTTCTCAGTGGACTCATTAATCCATACCATAATTTGCATTGTGATCATCAACACTCCAATCAATTAGATCTTTAAAGGCAATTATATTTAGCAGTAATGAAGTCACATTATTAATTAATTAATTAAAATCCGTTGCATGTATGTATGTAGTATGTATATGCATGTTCTGACTGGTCAATCAAACTTTAATACATGACACGAGTCAGGAGGAGGAGGTCGAGGACCAGAACCCGGACCAGGACAAGGCTGGAATTCAGTGAGTTGGGCGGCAATATTACTATAAGAATACTAATAATAATAGTACTAAGAATAAGAATGCAAAATGGATCTCGAGGAAATGGAGGCAAAGGCAAGTGGATAGCTGCCATGGGATAACTGGGGCGGTTTGCTCTGCTCTGCTCTGCCCTGCTCACTCTGCCTTCTCATCAAACTAATTAAATAGAAAATTAATAATAATAATAATAATAATAATAAATTAGCTAAGGTACATCCATTCAGATAAGATAATTAATTAATATCAATGACAATTAGTTAATGATGCACGAAGGAGGAGTAGTGGTAAAATAAGGATGTGTTTGTTTGCGGAGAGAAAAGCCAACAGAAGCTACAGCTACTGCATGCAATGCCACCTTCCGTCTCGCTCTGACACGTGTTACTCCACCGCTGTTTGTATATTCTCCCGCCATTTGCTTTTTTCTTCCACCTAAAACTTTCTTTCCAGTTATCATGTCTGTCCTAGTGTTTTCTAGAGGTCGCTTTCAAGTTTCAACATGTTTTTAAGGGTGTGTTTGGTTGGGGGGTTTTGGATTTTGAATTGGAATTTGAATAGTAAAAATTTTGAATTTAAATAGTTGTATGATGTGATATAAATAGGTATTGATGTGATATTTTTAATGTAAAATTAATTTTTAGTATAATATAAAAAATAAAAAATAGATGTTTGATTTGATTTTTTGGAAAAAAAATTTTGGATCAATAGTAGAATTTTGGTAAAATCCTTCAAACAAACGAACCCTAAGTTGTTTTAGAAATATATATTACTTGTTCCGCCAGTTAAATCTACAAAGGGTGTGTTTGTTTGGGCTTTGATTTTGAGTTTTGAATAGTAAAAAATTGAATTGAAATAATTGTATAATATGATATAAAAAATTAAAAATAAATATTTGATTTGCTATTTTATAAAAAAAAGTTTTATAAATAATGAAAATCTAAACAAAACCTCCAAACAAACACACTCATAATTTATTTGAGCATATAATTTAAAAATAATATTATTTTAATATTAAAATAAAATGAATAAAAAATAAATTAAGAATAATATAAAAATATTATTAAAAATTGATAAAAAGTTAATGAATAAATTAAAAAAAAGTAAAAAAATAAAAAATTATATTACACCCCTTCTGTTTTAGTAAAAATGCACAAAATACCCTGTATTTTATTTATCGCATGAAATTCCCTTGTGTTAATGTAAAGTTTGTACGAAACACCTTTCTTGTTCAAAATTGATATTTAGTTATAAATAAATACCTAAATTACGCAAGCTTTATACAAATAAAAAGCGTAAAATATCTTAAATAATTTTTTTTGCATTAAATAAATAATTTATTAATCCTTCATTTTATACTTTTTGGAGACAAATTGTGTCTAATTTTTATAAAAATTCTAAAATTAAATGATTGATCAATTATTTATTTATTTATTTTATTCAAAAAAATTATTTAAAATATTTTACGTTTTTTATTTGTATAAAACTTATCTAATTTAGGTCTTTATTTCGAACCAAACATCAGTTTTGGATAAGGAGTTTTCATTAACACAAAGAGATTTCACGCAATAAATAAAATACAGGATGTTTTTGTGCATTTTTAATAAAACACAAGGATGTATTATATAATTTACTTAAAAAAAAAAAATGGGGTTCGTTTACCAATTTTTTTTATACTATTTTTAATATATATATATATATATACTCACAAAAGTTAACATTTAATTTAAAATAATATTATACTTTCAAATATGTTTGAGACTGCGGAGGTAATTAGTAGTTCGGTTAAGAGGAATGGATGAGCCGAACAAGCAGTCCCAATCCAACATAAATTTGTGTACGAATAAGGAAAAACTTAATTTAGATAATAGAGATAATAAGATAGCGAATCAAAAGCTTCCTAAAAAATGGGGAAGTTGAGAATAAAGTAAAAAAGAATTATAGGTTAAATTTCGGCGAAAATACTGGAGCGGATATATAGTGAAAATTATCTTAATTTGTAAAATAATATATATATCACTAGAATGAGATAAAAGAAGAACACTCAAGCAATTCAAGCAATTTCCAATCCTATTTTTCAATTCAACTTCCTGCTCTTCTTTTACTCTGTCTTTCGTCGACTTTGCTTCCCATATTAAAATATTTTTCAATTTGATTTGCACCGTATTCGGTCCATCATCGGACCACCGTTCTAAGAATATTTTTGTTTGGAGGTGTTGTGATTCAATATCCGACTGCGAGATAAGTTCAGATCCTTTCTTGAGGAGGCCGGAAAACCCAATTCACGTCGATCTTGACCGGCCTAATCCATTGGGCCGCCATCGACGAATTTCAGCGATAACAGTTTAACACGCCCAATGAGACTCCAACGAGTCTCGCATTTCATGCAATTAAGGAATGGCAAATTACCATCTCCGGATAGCACCGCCATGCCGAAAGAAAAATGAGTCGCCTGAAAAACTTCGGCGCCACATGTTTTTGGGGAGATCACACACGATGAGTACTCTAAAACTCCGGAAAGTATGGAAAGAATGATGACGATTCCGGCCAGCATTTTACAGGATCAGATCCATAATGAGATTCAAGCGGCACTCCATGGGTCGGCGCTGGAACTTTTCCGGTACGTTATGAATTCTCATAGATGAGGGACAAGGAAACTTTCAAGGAAAAGACACAGACGGCCAACCCCGAAATTACCGGAAATGACCCTCCGGAGAAGGCAATGCATGGGGGCATGGCCGGATCACCTCCGGTATCACTTTAGTATGGCAAACTAACCATACTAGCCAAAGGACACGGAGGCAGGGGCCTCCCGGACGAGGCTATGGCTGAAGAACCTGGGCGGTCCTCGGGGTAGGCCATCTCAGGGCCGTCTTTACAACCGGGACATCTGGGAAGCAACAAATGTGCACCACCCACGTCCCAATGGCATATTAATCTTCTTTTTGGTGGAATAGGCGCCCCATACATCAGGAACAGATGTAAACGCTCAAGGGAACTTCCCGTCAGGAAGAGGACTAACCGACCCTTGGGGAGCATGGCCGATGATGGCCTCGATACCTCTGTTCGCCCTATTAGCCCTTGGAGTTGCTTGGGGAGCATCCGCTCCACCTCCAAACACATCTTTGGGGGCAGCCCTATCACCTTCGGGCCCATGGGGGAGAGCTCCATCATCGGTAGCGGTTGCGCAGGGTTCTAGTCTACTAGCTCCGGCTTTGCCGCCTCCACCGGAGGGGCAGACAACATACCTAGAAGTTGCCTCTACTGGACCAGCCGGACAACCACACGGATATGGATCCTCATATCAGGGGGCTCAGATCCACTTTGGAAACTTTGCCCCTCCACCGACAATACCGTTGAGAGTGCTCTCCAAAGGAAATTGAGCACGCCCTTCTCCTCTGCCACAACTCCCACATGGGTATCAACAATCCTTCCCTCGTGTTTAGCTAGGTCTAGGATAGCATGGAGGACAATCCTAGATTGCTCCCCCACTGCCGTCGATCATCAACCTTCAGGCCATCGAGGAGGCTGTATGGTGATCTTATTAGGGTGCCTACTAGGCTACATTATCAACGACCTTTTCCAGATTAGGTCACCATTGACCATCTCCTTCCCTGGAACGTCTTGATTCTGGAATTCACACTATTCTCGGGAGATGATCGCGCTCCACCATCGAGCATATCAGTCGGTTCACGGCGCAATATAGAGGCGAATTCGGGAACAACGAGTGGTTCAAGCTTCAACTATTTTTTATGTCCCTCACCGGGCCAGCATTCACATGCTACACATCTTTACTGCCAAATTCATTCCATTTTCGGAAGTCACGATATCGGATTTGACTAACTTACAACGACAACACAATGAACCAGTGGAGCATTTTCGGAACGGTTCCGCAGAGCAGAGAAACGATGTCAGTTTTGGATTCCCAAAAACTAAGTTGTCTACATGGCCATTGGCAATATGACGCACCAGCTCCGAGAAAAGCTGACTTTCCAAGAATACAATGATTTTTGGCAGCTCACCGGAAAGCAATGAAGGCGGAACAGCTCCTCCGGGACACCCATGCCCAGGTCCAGAAAGAGGAGTCAAACTATTTGGACGACCCGGAGGAGATGTTTTCAGTCGAGATCTCAAAAGGGAAAGCGTACACTTGTCTGTCGTTGAAATTACCTAGAAGGAAGGAAGTGAATCCTAAGGTACAATATACGTTTGATATTTCTAAGACCGAACAAATTTATGATTTTTTGTTGAAGGACAATCAAATCTAGTTCAAAGAGGGGCATAAAATGCCATCTGAAGAAGAATTGAACGGAAAATCTTATTGTAAGTGGCACGACCTTTACGGACATCAAATCAGGAGTTGTATTGCTTTCAGAAATGCAGTACAAAAAAAGCTATCAAGGAGGGCCGCCTATGGTTGACCGACAAGCCGGAGATGAAGATCGATACGGAACCATTTTCGGCTCCAATCAATGTTATTGGTGTCTGACCCACTAGGTGGAACCGATCAGCCCCATATGGTGGATGTAACCAAGAAGAAGTCACCCAAAAAAAAGAACGTATTTGAGCGGCTTGGAAGGACCATAAAAC